TTTGGGACAAAAAAATTCCCCACGTGCGAAGAGGTTAACCACCTGCGCTGGCAACAGATTGCGGACCATAACGAGTGACCAAAATCGTATACAATAATTCGTCGCTTTCATTTCGAACTCGTATCATTGGTATGACATGACTGGATAGAAATTATCGAGAAGTAATAAATAAATTTGTCGTTTTGTTTTGCCTGGGCTATACCTAAATATACTTAAAATACTGTGAAAATATTTATAATTTTGGGACAAAAAAATTCCCCACGTGCGAAGAGGTTAACCACCTGCGCTGGCAACAGATTGCGGACCATAACGAGTGACCAAAATCGTATACAATAATTCGTCGCTTTCATTTCGAACTCGTATCATTGGTATGACACGACTGGATAGAAATTATCGAGAAGTAATAAATTTGTCGCTTTGTTTTGCCTGGGCTATACCTAAATATACTTAAAACACTGTGAAAATATTGATAATTTTGGGACAAAAAAATTCCCAACGTGCGAAGAAGTTAACCACCTGCGCTGACAACTGATTGCGGACCATAACGAGTGACCGGACCCGTATACAATAATTCATCTGGTGGCCAAATATTAATTTTATATCAGTAAATATTATAATATTATATATTATATGTAATATATATATATATATTTTTTTATTATATATTCTATATCATAAATTAAGCCGTGTAATATGTCTCAGAAATTTACGAAATACAAGTATACAAGAACAAGATCTTATTTGCTCGTACGTGCCCGTATGTATGATCGTATTTATTACGTTACTATGTGGTTATTCTATAGTAACAAATATCTCTAGCTGCGGAGCAATAACAGCGGCGTTCTTTTTGAACTCGTAGATACGATATCACTGGATAGAAATGATTGAGAGGTAATAAATTCATTGTCCGTTTTTATTCGTTCTATTTTGTTTTACCTGGATATACTTGAGACTGAGAAAATATTACAATTTTGGGACAAAAAATTCTGGACGTGTGCAAGAGGTTAAAAACTCGATTCGTTGCGTTGCTGCTTCGTTACTTTGCGAAAAAGGATTATATTAGATCGTTGTTTCCTCGCCTCAGTTATTTTTCATAAGAGTAATAACCAGACCGCGGATTTTCATTCGAATCCTAAATATCCTAGAAAGCACTGTATTTTGGATATTTTCCACATTTTGTTCACGTTAGATTGGCATTGTAACTTTTTTGTATTTCGAAATTTCAATTCAATTTGCAAATTTACTGTAAACGTTCGCGGTCCAGCAGCAGTTGCTTGATATCGTTTAGAAGCCGCTTCAGTTTTTACTGGTTCGATAATTCTCAATTAGCGTCGGACTACAAATAATAACGTGTTGGTTAGTTAATTTCAACTTGCTGCACTCTGCGCCAAATACAGATTCATGAATTTATATTGCGCGAGACGCGAAATGAAATTAAGGTTAAAGTGAGATAAATTGGGGTTTAAAACACTTTAGAATTGAGTAATTAATATTATGAAATATTGGAGCATCCATATTTTCTCTCTCTCGCTCTCTTTCTCGAAGATCCTCGAAATAATTGCAAAAGAAAGCAACCTGCTGGAACTATCAAAGTACTCAAAACGACCAATCTATAAATTTTGGTAGAAACTTCATAAAATGTGAAATTAGTTGTTTGTTAGAAATTTCATAAACGTGTATTTTTCCGAGATCCAAATGATTTTTCGTAAAACAGAAAGCTTGCGTATTCTATTGTGCCTTAAATGTTTCTCCATTTCTTTTTCGTTTTTCTTTTTATTCATTTCAGTGTCTCTGATGGAAACTTTATCCTCTTTCGACAGTGAAAGGACTCGCAAATTTGAGAAACAGTTACTCTCAGTTGCGTTTATTTTATTTCTATTTTATTATTAATTTATAATTTGTTATTTATTTATTGTTATATTTTAATTATTTATTGTTATTTTATTTTTTAAATTTGACGAACGAAATTTTCTTATTATTCAAAGTTATCGTTATTCTATTATTTCATAGTAAATATCATTAGCCAATTTTTCCGCGGACTTTTCGATTTCTGAAACGTCGAATCGCCCTTTTCCTCGGGAAAACGATTAGAGTGGAAAATAACGAAGGAGCGTGTAACTCACTTCGGCGATCAAATATAATGTAATGGGTAATCACGGCGTCAGATACGACGAATACAATAAAGAGATCGTAATTCTCAAACACAATTAAGTCGGTACACTAATTACAAGAGGTAGGATGCTTTCACAGTGTTGTACCGGGCATGTTTAAAGCGCGTTCGCGGCAGATTACCGAGATTTAATTCGCGCGTTATGCCGGCCCGCGAAACGCGATTAATTACAAGGAACGTAGCGCAGTGACGGAAAATTGTTTTTCGTATAAATTAATGGCCGGTCGATTGAGTCACTCGCAATGAAATCGAAATTGTTGTTTAATTAAAAAAATTATTATCGAACATTCAATTGTTTCACTGAACATTGTTATTATTATACTTGTTCAACTAAAAAATTATTGTTACGTGTTGCACCGCAAAATTCGAAGCTTCTTTTCAAGAATTTATTGATCTGATAATAGAATATCAAAGTAGTTCAGTGTCATTAACATGGTAATATCCGGAAAGAAGCGTGGGCATTTCGTAAATAAAAGTAAATTTTCATATCCAAGAATCGCATTAGAGGAGCATCTTTTATAGAAACGAAGAAAAACGCTGGCTGTTTGCAAAGAAGATACTAAAAGCACCTCGTATTAACCTAAATTTCTGAGGCATATTACACGACTTAATTTATGATGTTACATAGAATATATAATAATAAAAAAATATATATATATTATATATAATATTATAATATTTACTGATATAAAATTAATATTTGGCCACCAGATGAATTATTGTATACGGGTCCGGTCACTCGTTATGGTCCGCAATCTATTGCCAGCGCAGGTGGTTAACCTCTTCGCACGTCGGGAATGTTTTTGTCCCAAAATTATCAATATTTTCACAGTATTTTAACTATATTTAGGTACAGCCCAGGCAAAACAAAATGATAAATTTATTACTTCTCGATAATTTCTATCCAGCCATATCATACCAATGAGACAAGTTCGAAAAGAAAGCGACGAATTATTGTATACGATTTTGGTCATTCGTTATGGTCCGCAATCTATTGCCAACGCAGGTGGTTAACCTCTTCGCACGTCGGGAATGTTTTTGTCCCAAAATTATCAATATTTTCAGGGTATTTTAACTATATTTAGATACAGCCCAGGCAAAACAAAATGATAAATTTATTACTTCTCGATAATTTCTATCCAGTCATATCATACCAATGAGACGAGTTCGAAAAGAAAGCGACGAATTATTGTATACGGTTCGGTCACTCGTTATGGTCCGCGAACCAGTCGCCAGCGCAATGGTGTTAAATAATCGTTAAACCGAGTTTGCTTGAACGTCTTTCGTCATACTCATGTAAAGGATCGTGAGAGTCGATTTCGGGACGAAAAAAAAAGAAAGAAAACAAAAAATTTCATTTCCTCCGCCATCCGGTCCACGGTATATGCGTGCCCAGGCATATTAATTGCAATCGTCGATAGAAAGTCGCGATTGGTTATCAGTCAACCGGAAACAGTCGCCAAGTGAAAACGACCGTGCGTCTCGTATTCATATTAAGCAGCTCCCTCCGAAAAGAGAAACGATAAGATAAGAGGAGACAAAGCGACAACGACAATCGAAACTGAATTTTTCTAATTATCATTTGATTTCGTTTGAATTCTTCAGTTTTCTAAAAAAGGTTTGAGTGGATGTTGGACACCAGAAACAGTTGGGGCCATGTTAAAATTAGACACAGTGGATTCGGTGCACTCTGTGTGAAACGTGAAAACGAAGACCAAAAAAGAGAGGAAACAGATGTAGGCACGGGTATCGATTATCGAGTAATTGGAGCGTTATGGGAAATATTAGATTTACGTCAAAGAGAGAGAGAGAGACGTGCGATCGACTTTTCTCGATTAAACCACGAACGAACGAATAAACCCTAGATGGATATCGTTCTATGGACGCCGTATTTTATCATGAATCGCGTCAGTGTTCCATTAAGATGATAAAATAGAGTTCCCTTTAATAGAGAGAAACAGCACTATGCTTTTACAAATCTAGCGCGTTGCTTTTATCGCGATGGTCGTCAGTCACTCACGTTGATAGGGAATTTTTCCTTCTTTCGTTGTTTACGCTTTAAGCAGGGATTTTTGTGATTAATGTGGATCAAGCGGCTGACCTATAATAAAGTATATTTGTGAATGAAACATGTTATTTTTAGAAATAAAATATTACTACGTTGCATTATGTTATTATATCATATCTTGGCATGTTCAGGCATATTAATTTGTCTTCTAACGAATCGAACAATTTTCATCGTCGTCAGTTGCAAGTTGGTACGAGACGCTCCTCAATTCATCTTGCTCCCAATTAAAGAACCTCCACGCGTAAGAAGTCCCTAGGGACTCAATTAATCAAATCAACTCGTGGCTGCGAACCAACTAACCAAGATACTCGCCGCGATTAAAATTTCAAGCTATATACCGCTGCTCCTCAAGATAGTCAGAGTCGAACTTTAGAGTTCCGTAGAACCACGCTAAAAGTCTTTCCAACTTTAATCACGAGCTGCTTCTCGAGCATTTATTTCAAAGTTGCCAGACGTTTCGTCCTCCTTGTACGCGTTTCTTCCTCCGAAGAACATTTTCCTTAATTCTTTCGAACGAAAAAAATTTCAAGGCTCTTCATGGTTCTTTTTTTTTTTTTCTTTTTTATTTAGAAATACTCCACGAATCTTTTATTCAGAAAGTTCCAGAATTTCTTCGTTTGAAAGTCCAAGTAGCCAGAAAAGTTCCAAGCAGTTGCAACATATTCTTTTTTCAATAAGAAGAGATTCCAGGAATTTTCTGTTTAAGAAATTTCAAAGCATCCCCTTTATTTTTCTCTCTCCCCCCTCAAAAAAAAAATGCAGGTCTGTTGGGTACCGAAATGTATCTTGGATAATTAAGACGCTTCCGACATTCGCGAGACAAACCAAAGAGATTTGTGATAGTCAGTGACTGAGTGAAGAGACTCTTGGCATAATCCAAAGGGGTTTGACAGAGGAAAAAAATGAGACCGGTAGTGAAAACAGCAAGACCGTGTGTTCCTGGTGATCGAATTGGTTAGTAGTGATCAGTGAAAGCCAATCATGTTTACGATGATCGAACCGAGGAGTGACAGGGTGGCCAACACCCAGACGAAACATCACTGTTACCAAGTGATCAGGACCACTAGGGTGCACCAGAGTTCCAGAAGCTCGAGGATGGTTACCGTTCAGGAGAAGGTGATCAGATCGCGGCTACAGTTGGGCTATTCCACGCCTACCAACTTCATCAACCGGTACTTATCATACATCTTTTGATACAAATACACCTCGTCGAACGAGAATTTTAAATTCTGATCTGCAATCATCGGTTCCTCTAATGTCTCGAATTAAGTAAAAATTTATTAATCTAATTTAGAAGCTACTTGTCGATCATCTACGCAAACGTATTAATTTCATGCGTATCGACATTGAGCGTCCATCGTTGCAAAGCTTAAAATGTTACTAGAAAAGGTAACTGTAACATTACTAGCACGAAATATTGCCCTAGAGTGTTACTAGATGAGTAACTATGACGCAAAGAGCTTCCCGAAGGAAGCCCCCGATGAGACTGAGAATAAAAAAAAAAAAAAAGATGCAGCCCGATAATAATCGAGCAGTATGTATGTTACAACCGTAAATATTATAATTTCTAATTACCACGGCTGGCAGGAGCGTGTCCTAATTCACCGTTCACTTCCGGACGATGGCTCGTTTTGTGCTGCGCTCGGTATATACGGCTCCCGGTTACGCAGTAACAGTTTCCGGCTATTTTATGGAAATTTTTCATCTGGAGAACCCTTGCCAGACCTTACGAGAGCTCTGCCGCCGCCGCCGCGGAGCTTATTCGCGTTAATTATATGCATAAAAGGGAACAGAGTATATCTCTGTCGAGCAAAGGATCCGTGTTCCCACGCGGCGTTCTTCACCCGCGTAAATCCCTCCCTCGATGAAATATTCCGAGAAATTTTATCTCCTACGAGCTCCTCTGCCTACTGTTATACGACGTAGTGGGATTAGGTCGAGAGAGAAAGATCGTTGTCAGAACAGAGCTATCTAAGCGGTTGGCAGAACGTGTATGTTCGAGCAAAACAGGCAGCGGTATCGCGTTAGGTTTGACGATTTCAATAATATTTAATACATACTACAATATAGAATTTTTAAATTATAATTATAAATATAATTTTTAAATTATATAATAATTGATATAATAGTATAATAAATTGTATAATAATTTTTAAATTATATTTTAAATATTAAATATTACCACGTTAAATATAATTATAATTATAAATATTGATTTTAATATGAATTTAATTTAATTTATTAATATAAATATTAATTATAAATTGTAAGTATAATTATATTTAATATAAAGCACAAAATTTTAATTTACACTATAAATATACCAAAATATAAAATTTTTAAATATACTAAATGTTAAATATAATTATAATTATAAATATTGATTTTAATATAAATTTAACTTAATATATTAATATAAATATTAGTTATAAATTATAAATATAATTATATTTAACAT